GAGAGAGAGAGAGAGAATTTTTAATATTTATTTTTTAGTTCTCGGCGGACACATCTTTGTTGGTATGTGGTGCTGAGGATCGAACCCGGGCCGCACGCATGCCAGGCGAGCGCGCTACCGCTTGAGCCACATCCCCAGCCCCTAAAATTACTCCTTTAAACATCTATTAGATCTCTTACTTATCAAAAGAAAATGGAAATCTAAAGTATCATATAAATTCTAATACCGCAATGATGTTAATATTTTAAAAATTGAAAATTATTCTGCTTGTGATTTATGGGATAAAATTCTCAATCAAGTAGAATAAGAGAGAAGTTAAAAGCATAGCTCTGGAGTTAATCTCATTTCAAATTTTGAATGTGCCACATCTTTTGAGAGTTGGGGCAAGTTTAGTTAATCACTCAAAGCTTCAGGATCCTTATTGATAAAATAATGATGAAAACAACTTGTAGAACATTTAGGAAGACTAAATGGGATGGTGCAGATGAAGGTTTAGCACAGTATCTGATATACAATAAATGCTCAATAAATAATGACTGACTATTGTAGGAAAGATTCTTGATAATATGGTTTCACTACCTCTGATCTCTAACTTTATGTTCCTCTTAAAACTGCTGTTACTCCATATTTACTCATGTTGTGACTTTTGTCTTTTTTTCTCTTTTCACACTCTAAGCCCCTATTCATCCTTTAAGATTCAGGTCATCTCGCCAGGCATAGTGGTGCACGCCTTAATCCCAGTGGTTCAGAGGTTGAGGCAGGAGGATTGTCGGTTCAAAACCAGCCTCAGCAACTTAGTGAGGGCTTAAGCAACTCAGTAAGAACCTGTCTCTAAACAAAATATAAAAAAGGGCTGAGGATGTAGCTCAGTAGTTAAGCACCCCTTGAGTTCAATTCCTGGTACCAGGAGGGGAAAAAAAAAATTCAAGTCATCTCCTTTGAAAAGCTCTTCCTTAATTCCCCAGGATTTGACAGATACCCCTCTCCTCTGTCTTTGTAGTAAGTACCTTGTGACTATATTTCACTTTTCTATACATCAGGTCTCTTTTTTTTACCTCATCTCCAGTTCATCCCCAGACATTTCCATTATTCTTCTCAAAGCCACCAATGATGTTCTTATTACCAAATCAGTTCCTTTTTCATCTTCATCTTACTTCTCCGCAGCATGAACACAGTTGACCACTCCCTCCTTGAAACATAATTCTTGTCTTACATGAATACTACACTCAATCTCTAAGGCTTAACTGCTAGTTTTTCACATTCTTTTTAAAGGGTCTTAGAAAACCCTTTTGTCTTTTAGCACTCAACTTCCTAAGTGAAATCAATCAATCCCATACTTTTATTTCTACCTTAGACCTCGTTTCTGACCTTTAGACTTGGTGGATCTAATTGGCTTGACATGTCCCCTGACTAATCTTGATTCCACTCTCCCAATTCTCATATTCAATTTATCATTTGTTTCAAAAATGCACCTGGAACTGTGCTCCATCTATTTCCATTGCCCTCACCATGATCCAAACCACCATCATTTTTCATCTATACAAATTCCAGGAGTCTCTTCACTGGTTTCCCTACTCTTACTCTTGTTCTCAAGCCCACAGAATAGTAGAGGAGTCTTCAAAAAAAAAAAAAAAAATGTAATTCTTCAATAAATTTCTACTATACCTGGGAGAAAAAACATGAATTGGCTCTGGACACATGCTTAACTTCACCTCAGGCTACCCTTTGCCTTCTTATAATATTCTCAAGTCCACCAAGGTCTTGCCTGTTTTAAGTCTGTATCAAATTCTATTCTGCCTAGAATGTTTTCCCCTAGTTCTGTCATACTGAGTTCTTTAGGACTCAGTTTAAATATAATATCCAATGACCATGCTATCTCAAGCAGATTTCCTGTTACTATCTCAGCACCAGTTTGTCTCCTTTAACATAATTTGTAAATACATACATATATATTTTCAACTCTAATGAACTATATGTTTAAAACAGGCAAGAACCAGGTATACTTTGTTCAATATTAAATATCCTATACTTACGGAGTGCCACACTGTTTTACATAAACATAAAATTCACTGCACACGTATTTTGTGACTTAGAAATAAAATTATTATTTTATTTCTATTTCCCTTCCCCCAAGAAATTGAGCTCTTTTAAAATTAAAAGCGTGTCTTAAATTTTAATTTTGTTAGAACCAACTGATAATGATAAGCCTCAAAGTGTCATGTAATTTGTATTTATTAAGATGAATTAAATTCAACCAAAAAGATAAGGTAAATAACTAGATGAGGAAGAGGGGGAGGAAGAGATAGTGAAGAAATGGGAGCTCCTGGGAGGACCCCAATCCAGACCCCTAGACTCCAGTGAATGCCTGAAATCTTGGACAGTACCAAATCCTATACACAAGCACTGTGATACCATGATAATCTGACTGAGACAGCTACTGAGTGACTAATGGGCAGGTAATGTACACAGCACAGATAATCTGGACAAAGGGATGACTCACACTCTTGGCTAGATGGAGCAAAATAGTATAAGATTTCACCATGCTACTTAGTGCCCAATTTAAAATATATGAATTTCTGAAATTTTCCATGAAATACTTTTGGATGATGGCAAGTGAAACCACAGAAAGTAAAATCTCAGATAACAGAAAGTTATCCTCAGAGGGACAAATGTATATCATTTATCAAACAGAAAATACAGAACGAACAGCAAGCAACTTAGGGGGAAGGATGATAATAAAAAGTTCAACTCTTGATGATAAAAGGTGTGCAATCTGTAGAACATAAAAACTAGATTTCCAGTAGACAACTGGAAATAAGATCCTAGAGTTGAGAGAGAACGAAGGTCAAATATGCAAAGGATGATTTTCAAACTTTCCAAGTTTTCATTAACAATTTTGAAAACATGACAAATATCTAAGAAAAATTAAAAGTTTTTTCATAGACCTCTTGAAACTCATCCATAGGTTTCCTCAAGGTTATAATTTTCCAATACAAGTATAAATTGAAATTATGGAAATGGATAACATTAATGAATCAACAAGAGAGCTACAAAGACCTGGAAGTACTTCTTTGCATCTGTATTTATACACAGGTGTTACTTTCTCACTTCTCTTTCAGGTCCTGTTTTATGAGCTGTAAAATGGTAATGGCAATTGTCTTCCTTAGAGGTTGTTGTAAAGACTAAGTGGAAAAATTGAAAATTGTGTGATGAAGAATTTGGAACATAATGAACCTAGCTCTTCAAGCTCAGATTTTACTGGCATCTTGAATAAGACAATACTTATTTAAAATAATTCAGTATCCCAGTCTTATCTCAACTAGAATATAAAATATGGGCCTAGCCTTCATTTTTTGCCTTCTAGGCCAAAGGGCACTACTTTTCACACAATAAGTGCTCCATAAATCTCCAGTGAATGAGGAAACTAAGGCAAAATCCCCAGTCACATCCAGTTTCCTCCTGCTAATGAGTCACAGCAACTCTAATTATGAGTATAGTAAACAATACAGAGGAGGGAAGAAAAAGGGATTTTAAGTGGGATAAGCATTCAAAAAGTTGCTGTCCTAGCAAGTTTGCAAAGATGATTTAGTAAAAGTAATTAGAATTAATATAAAGTACTTTTTAGTGGTGTTTATGCTTCATCTAATAAAACAATTAATTAAAAGCAAATAAAAAGGAAACAAGTCATACCTAAATAAACTAAATATTTAGATTTGTGCAGTTTTAATTTTTAAACCGTTAGAACCACGTTATCCGCCCCAAAGTGTCATGTAATTTGCTTGCTTCTTCCAAGCAGAACAGCAGAATTTGGCTACTGAATATTTTCTACGTTTACCTTTAAATTAATTCTGAGCTACACGTATTCGTCTCCCCCCCCCGCCCCACCTCCATTTAAATATGTGGGCGTCTGCTTACTAGGGGAATTCCAGGCTGCACTTTCAGCTGTTGAGTTGTCCCCAGCCCCCTTTGCAAAAAGAGTTTCACGTATTTGCTCCACTGCATGGGATCTTTCATCTGGTCCAGCTTTTGCTCTAGAGTGAGACTGCAACCTAGGCAGTCTGACTCAACGAAGAACCTGAACCATTTCCCTAATAACGTAGCTCCAAGAGCACAGTGGCAAAGGGGGTGGGGGGAGAATCACGAAATAGGCGAGGAACCGGCAAGATGACTGTCAACAAACTCTCAGCTGGATAAGGTTTAAAATCCAAGCCCTACGTTTAGTGATTCAAACGTCGAGTAACCCGTCACTGGGCACCACTTCCACCAAGGTCCCTGAATACAATACAGGGTTCGCTGCGGTCCTCCAGTGCGTGGAACTTCCGCTCTTCCTACCAAGAGGCTCCTCCGCGTCCTGTGACTCCGGGTTTCCGCTTTCCTCTCCCGCCGGACCGTAGCCCGCCCCCAACCGCACCAGGGGCAAGGTAGTACTACTCACGTCCTTCTTCACTTCAGTCAGGTCCTCTTCGGTGAGGGACAGCGCGGTGGGTTCCATGGCGGAGGTGGGAGATGGCACTTCTTCCGGGGCTGGGGGATTCCGCGGCGCAGCCCCGCCCTGACCAGGGGCTTTCGCCTCCGGGAACCGGGGCGGAGAGGAAGTGGAGCAGATCGGGGCGGGGGGGGGGGGGGGGGGAAGAGGGCCGTCCCTTAAAAAGCAGGGACTTGGGGGGAGTCAAACTGTAGCGCTTCCGGCTCAGCCTCTGGGCTAACGGCGTTATAAACCTACCTCGTCGCCAGCGTAACCTTGCGGCAGAAGAACTTCCCTCTCCTAGTGGCTCATTTGCAGACACCGCCCCTCGGAGAGGCGGGTCTTGTGGAGCCCGCCCCCTCTGCGTCAGCCAATCAGCGACCGTCTTCTCTGCCCCCTCCCCCCCGAGCTTTCCGGAGTGGTTCCGCCCATAGACGACTACACCTCAAGCCACGCCTCCTCAGGTCGTTTGCGTGAGGCGTTGGGTGGCCTCCCAATAAGGAATCTTCTGTGGGTTGGGCCCTCACGGCTCAGCCCAGGGGGCACTACCCGCCTTCGCAGAGGGCTCGCTTTGGTGGAGTCTGATCTCGGTTGTCATTGTCTTCGAGTTCCTCCCCTTTTCCCAGACTTTGCTCTGCGATTTCCTGTTGTTGTATTGTCTAAATTTTACAACTATTTGGCCACGCACAAACACGTACACGCACGCGCGCGCACACACACACACACACACACACACACACACACACGCAGCTTAACTACAATTAAAGAAATTTTGGAGGAGAAAAAAAAAAAAACGCTACAATCCCACCACTTTAGCACCTTAACGATGGAAAATAACTCTGCTGTAAGGAAGTAAATGGTTTGTTCGCAGGTAATGCCTATGCCCTGGTAACATAAACTCAAGTACTCAAGTTAACCGCATGAGCTCCCCGTGAACAGTGATTACCAAGGACATGGCTCTTCTATGAAGAGATTATACAAACTTTTAGAACACCCAAGCAGGTAGTGTCATCATGAAACTCCTCCACAAGATTCAGAAGCTTTCAAAAAAGTAGGGAAAGCTCCTACAAAATTCAGGTACTGTCTCATTCCCAGCCATAATGTTCAATAGAGGCCAGAGGTCCGTCAAGCTTCACATACACATTTATCCAGTAGTCACAGAAATGCTAGATCAGATACAATGGCAAGTCAAAGGAGCCTAAAATAACCCAAATACAACTTGAGCTTCTTATAGTACTTTGTCTCTCCACAGGTCTAGATAATCCAATCAGTAAAATTCAAACAACCTGAAAGCTCCCAAATACAAATGTGGCCTCTTTGAAAAAGCTTCAGTTTACAACTTAATGTAACACTTACATACTTTTTGGACACTGTTCATTACAAGCATAAGTTTTCCTCATTTATTAATCTGTGTAACAGAGATAGGCTTACTTCACAGGGCAGCTGGGAGTATAGGCAAAGTTCTTAGAGGTACTTGGCACACAATTGGACTCTTTATTATTTTCTTTTATTACTTCTTATTAATGTGTTCTAGGCATCTTATGCTATGAGAGTTTTCCATTTTATTGAAGGAGACTAATGAATAAATGACTAACCATCTAACAAACAGCAGTGTATATAAAATATACATGGATAAGGAGCTCTAGAGGGCCTAAGGTAGTTTGTACAAAATACTAAATAAACTAGTAATAAACTAGAGGGTATAGGAAGCTACAAAGTAGATTAAGTTGACAAGAGACTAAGGACAAACTTGGGGATCCCAATGTTTATTTTATTTATTTATTTTTGAACTGGGCATTGAGCCCAGGGGTACTATACCAGTCCTTTTTACTTTTATTTTGAGACAGGGTTTGGCTAAGTTATTGAAGATCTTGCTAAGTTGCTGAAACTGATCTTGAACTTGTGATCCTTCTTCATGTTTCTCACCTCAATGGGACTAGAAACATACACCTTCACACCCAGCCCCAATATTTAAATGAAAGCAAAAGAACCAGAAAAGATCATCATTGCCAAAACCATATTTATGTAGTTTTGATAACAACAAAAGCTTTGATCTTAATTTTTTTTAAAGAGAGAGAGAATTTTAATATTTATTTTTTCATTTTTGGCAGACACAGCACCTTTGTTTGTATGTGGTGCTGAGGATCGAACCTGGCCCGCCCCCATGCCAGGCCAACGCACTACCGCTTGAGCCATATCCCCAGCTCATAAGCTTCGATCTTTACACTAACATTATATTACATTATATTAAGTCTTTTTTCCACATTGATACATAAAACTCTTTTTCTGATTGCTTGATCTTCCATCATTTTGATGTAACTCAATTTATTTAACCAATTGTACTTTCATTTAACAAATATTTATTGAATGTCAACTATGTTCTAAGTACTGGGAAACAACTGTGATAAATGGATAAAAATCCCTTTCCCTGTGGAACTTATATTCTAGGATGTGTTATGTTTGGGGCAGGAGAGGTAGACATTTGAAATTTTTTATATAAGTTACATGGAGCCATATGAGGAAAGAGTGTTTTGAATAGAGGGAACAGCCAACAAAATTCTCCAGTGTGACTGGGAAGGAGATAAACTCCTGTGTGCCACTGTCAAAGTTTACTGTGATGTGTTCTGAGTCATTTAGGCTTACTCTGAGTCAGATGGGAAGCCACTGGAGGTTTCTGAGCAGAGAAGTGGTATGATCCGATTTATCATTTGAGAAGAAGCACTTTCACTTATGTGTTGAGGTGAAAGAAAGTGGGAGAGGGAGGCTAGTTAGAAAGGTATTGCTATAATTTAGGACCCAGGAGGTGGTGGTTCAGACTAGGATGGTAGCTATGAAGGCGGTGAGAATACTTTGAAGAGAAGTGGAGGGGAGATTTGATTTCATCTTGAAAGTGTCTGGTAGCTGCTTGAGTTGAGAGCAGACTGCAGGGAACACGGTGGAAGCAGGGACCAGCTGCAGGTTACCACAACCATCCAGGCAGAGGTAAGGGTAGCATGACCAGATGGGGGAATCATGCGCATTCTCTATTTGTACCTTAAGTTATTTCTAATTTATTGTTATAAAAATTTGTCACAGATTAAAAAAAAAACTTTGCATAGAATTATTCATCTACATAGTCCCCAAACTTTTCTTTTGTAATAATTATCTTTGCCCTTGCAAAAATGCCCAGGAGCAGGAGTACAGAGTCCAGGAAAATTAATAGTTTATAATTTCTCATGTATATTTCCACAGGTTCTCCCCATAGGGCTGTATTGGTCTATTCATGTGTGGGAATGAAATGTTTGGCTACAACCATATCAGCTTTGCTGATGAAAGACAAGGTTTAGAAYCCATTAAAGCAAGGGATTTGAATGCTGACAATCCAATGCACTCATTTTGAGGTTTCTACTGTTCTTTTTAAAAATGAAATACTTCGAACTTACCAAAATATAAAAAATAATATTATAAACACCCTTAACTCATAATCAAGATTGTAAGTGTCACATTTGCTTCTATTATGGCATTTAGTTACCAAATGTTAATGACAGACCAGTCTGATTCTTGAGTCTTCTTTCTTGCCTTTTACTGTACATCTGACTTTTTCCTTGTCTGACATCATTTCATTTCTGACGCCTTCAATCTTCCACTCTCAATATTAACTCACTTATTCATGAAGTCAACTAAAATGTAAGGGTCTGGTCTGGGTCAGAAGTGGAAATAATGGAATAAGGAACAGGGATTAGATAAGACTGAATGAAGACCTTAGGAATTTTTTACAGTTGAAAGTTAACAGTATTTTTTATGTTATGACTCAAAGCAACCACATCTGAACACCATGTGCCTGATCACAGAGCTAGTTTGTAGCTGACTTTGCAGTTCCCACTCCTTACTTTTTAATGCATCCTTCTTCCTTCATTAGCAAATTCATTTTTCTTTTTCTGCTAGTTCACAGGGTCAAAATATAATGAAGGTTGGTGTTGGGGTGAAAGAAAGTGTAGTTAGGCTCTTTCACTGAAGACTTCCAGTGGACTATGTTGATTTTAGTCTGTAGCCAGGCCTGGGAACGAGCTATGTATGGTTAGTCAAGGCCAGAAAGATTGTGATTCAGCATATAGACTCAAGGTCATAAACATGAACTTGTGAACATGCTCGACCCCCACCCCCTTATGTTACCTATAGCAGTGTACCTTCTTTGTTTTAGTTATATTTTAAAAAGGCCTATGAAAATGGCTTGGGGAGCTGGCTAATGGCCACCTCCAAATAAAGAATGACCAATATTCCCACCACTCCTTGCATCTTCTTCCACCTGCTGAAACTCGAGCCTTAATTTCTGGGTCAGAGCCTCCACATGACAGTTGGGCAATATTTTCAAGGAAAAAAAACCCCTGCCCATTCTCCCCTTCTTTCCCATTCCCCAGCATAGTCTCCATCCCCACCTCAACTTCTAAGTGCACTTGCCTCTTTCTAATTTCTGTTGGGTGCTAGCAAACCCTGGCATTCTTTGGACCATGGCAGCATCACTTGGGAATGTCAAGAACATAACCTGAAAAGCATAATATTAACTGTCACCTGTAAAAAATTCCCAAGATTCTCATTCAGTCTTATCCAATCCCTGTTCCTTGTTCCATTATCGCCACTTCTGACCAAACCAGATCCTTACCTTTTTAGTTGATTAAGTGAATAAGTGAATGAGTTTTGAGAATGTTGAAAGTGTCAGAAATGAAATGATGTCAGAGACAGGGAAAGAGTCCCATGTACAGTAAAGGGCAAAAAAGAAGGCTCCCTTCCATCTCCATCTTCACGTGGCCTTAATTGTGCTTCCTTCTGTGTTTCTGTGTCCAACTTTTCATCTTGTAAGAACACTAGCTATCCAGGGAACCATGGGATGCCTTAAATGTCCTGCAGCTCTGGGCAAATCACTTGACCATCTCTCTCTCTGGCAGAGACCAGGAAACCAACCAGTGTACATTCTGCAAAGAGGAGCATCAGTGAAGAGGGAGATGTTCCTGATACTTTCAAGGAAAGCCATTCATGGCCAGCAAGACCCTGACCTATCCTGGCAGATGGCACAACTGGTAAAGGAAGACTGAAAGAGCCAAGAGGCTTCCCATAAGCTCCTGAAAGTGACCCCTGAGGTATTTCAGCTGACCCTAACAGTAGATAGGAACAAGGTCAATTTGTTACTAACTTGGTCTTAAGACACCTTGCAGGAAAGTACACCTAAAGAACAATCATAAATGCAGATTAAAAAAGAAAGACTTCTGTCCTTTTAAATGTAACTTGATGTACATTTGCATCAGCCTTACCAAAAGTAAATAAAGGATATAGAAAAAAAGGAGTCTTATGCACAAGTGACTGATATTAACAATCAGAAGACACTCTGTTAAAATGATGTTTGCCCTAAGTTAATTTTGCTGATATGATATGCTTTAAAAAAAATTCAGATCCTGAGATATTCAGATCCTGTCAGGCAAATAAAACTATTAATACTTACTTTACCTAACCTCACTTGCCTGTTACCACTGTTAGGAACTCTGGTAACTTCTGCTTCTATTGCTCAGTCTGAGTCTTTTAAATCTAACAAAGCTTGTATCTTCCAGAATACAGCAATTCCATGTTAAGAAGATGGCAACACAAGAATATCAACCCATCCCTGCAACTGAGACCAGTGTCTACCTCCTTCAGAACAGTCAGCATGAGACTTTTGATTCCTGACTGGGAAGGGTCATTGCCCCTTGCCAGCCTGAAGTAGCCAAAGAAGAGATCTTCACCTCCTACCAATCCTTAAGATTAAGGGATCAAAGTAGGGGGTGAGGGAAGATAGGAATTTAGGATAAAGAGAGAGAAATACTGAATCTTAAAGGAAACACCCACAAGCCATTGAGAAGTAGAAAGTATGGTTGTAAATCGTGGCCTGAAAACTGGCCTGAAATGATGCAACTCCACCCTGGATGCACCTGGATGCACCTTTAGTCCAGTCCTTGAAACAGCCCTTCTATAAAGATTGGACCCCCAGCCCAAGTCAGGCTGCTTCTCACTCTTGAGACAGCCTGCCTTCTCCCTTGAATATGTTATTCTTCCTAAATAAACCTCTGTCTATGCCAGAACACACAAACAAGCAAACAAACACCAACCATTGAATTTAGGGCTCACCCTACTCCAATATGACCTCATCTTAACTTTGTTATGTCTATAAGATCTTTCTGTTATGAACCACATGTGGCTGCTTCAGTCAACAACAGACACATGTACGGGGTGGTCCAGTAACACTACAAAAGAGTTGAAAAGGCTCTGCACCTCCTAATGGAGCTTTCACAGCATCCGAGTGCACTGCTTATTCAGGTTTGTGGTGATGCTGGCATAAACAGACCTCTGTGCTGTCAGTCATTTAAAGTATGGCACATATAATTACATACAGTATGTAATACTTTATAATAATAATAAATGACTGCTATTGTTTAATGTGTTTACTATACTTTTAATAGTTCTTTTAGAGTATACTCCTTCTACTTATAAAAAAGTTTAAAGCAAAACTGTTATGATGACATAAGCTTCATGTATCTCATATTTATGAAATCTCTTTTGAGTGCATCATTTTCCCTCATGTTTCATTTAATCTCATGTTATTTTGCTCAGAATAGTCCTAGGAGAAATGTATACATACCATATAGACTAGGCATATGGATAACTATTCTATCTAGGTTTGTGTAAAGTACATTCTATGATGCTGGGACAATAAAGAAATTACCCAACAATGCATTTTTCAAAACCTATCCCTATTGTTAATGGACGTATGACTATATTTTCAAATAAAGTTATATTTTGAGGTTACCATGAATATGAATTTTGGAGAGACGCTATTCAACCTAGTTCAGTTGGATTCTGGATTTGGCAATCATTAGCAGTATGATTCTGGAACAATCAATGAGTACTGGATAAAAGTAGCTATTATAGGAATGCAGAGAGAGGCAAGAGGAAATCATTTCCAGCTGACAGGACAACTTGAAAGAGGAGTATTTAAGCTGTGTGGGAGAATTTTAATAGGTGGAGATTGAACTGCTTCTTAATGATTTGTTCTAAACTTTCTTGTCAGATGTTAGATGCTATGTTGAGTAACAAATTCAATTCCAGGTCATGGTGACTTATAAATTTCTGGTAAATAGCTGAGGGACAAAGCAACCAGTTCTGAGACAGACACTCCTGGGTTTTAATGGCAAGACAATGTGTGATGAAATTGACCTGTTTCTGCACAGAGCTTTGTGAAGACTCCAGGTATCCTTGTCTCCAGGAATGACTATCAACGTAGAAAGGAAGGAACAGGAGGGTGCTAGGTTGTGGGAATGGGCCTAAGCAAATGCTCTGAGGATGTTTGCAAATGCATCCCAAGACTTTGACATTGCTGGGGCTGATGAGGAACCTGAGAGAAAGATTTATTCCTCCTACCTTCCCCTAGAAGATGGTTCCACTTGGAGAGTGCAAGCAGGCACATGCATCAGCACACATTGGAGGAGGAACTAGATCTCTTCATCTTAAAACTGCCTGAAGACATAATCACTGTCCATTTATTTCACACCCACTTGGAGCCAAGCACTTGACATCTGCAGTCACAATTTAATCCCGTAACAGTCCTGCGATGTACACTTTATTATTCTCACTTTACGGAGGAAATCTTAGATTTAGGAAATATAATTTGCCCAAGGCCACTCTCCCACCAAGTAGCAGAATCAGGATTGCAACTTTGTGATGTTTGATAACAAGATCAGTGTTCTTAATTAGCAGCTGTTCTTAATTAATAACTGTTTCAGGGCATGGTAATTCAGAGAAGCTAAGATACTCAAGCATTTCTTGGAGCAAGGCAAATGGTTTAATGGTTTTAGTTCCATTCTCCATGCCTGAGCTAGGAAAAAGAAAAGCCAGGAAACTTATCCTGTGACTTTCTAATTCCCTAAATGAGAAAATGATACCCCAGGATGGGCAGGAAAGGGACCCCTGGGGCTCTTGATGGACCCTGAAATTTAATCTGATAAGAGCATCCTGCAGCTCTCAGAGGTGGAAGAGATCAGAAATTGACCCACTGTTTAGGGCTTGGTAATTGGTGGAGCAGGACTTTTAAAGACAGCATCAWTATCATGAAGAGGAAACTGACATTTAAGAATATAGGATGGACTTCACAGTGTACACTGAGTTTGTCCAAAAAACATTCTTCTGTGGTGAATGAAGAGCTGAATGAGCTTTAGTTAAGAGGTGCACGGTTCTGCCAGATGGCACCCAAGGGTGTAGAAACAACCTTGGGAATGAGAGCATCTGCTGCTGCTGAGAATCCATAAAGGATCAAGGGCAACCATGAGAGAGCTGAAAATTCAGGAATGTTTACTAATACAAATCTCAAAAAGGGAAAGAAGGTGATCGTTTTGCACAATCCAGTCTGGCTTGAGGGCAGGGATAATTCTGGGAGGGAGTATTAGAGGAGTGTCCCCAGAGAGCCTAAGTGGGAGGCAGGTGACCACCAAGAGGCAGCATGGCTTCCCTCAAAATCAGTCGTTTCCCTTCCCACTACTCCTGGTGAGAATCAGTGGTTCTCAGTCTGGACTACTTATTAGAATTCTGGTTACTCCTGTGGTCAGAAATCCAAATTCCACCCCAGATCAACTTCAAAAATTCTCAGGGAGCCTGGCAGGGTTAGTCTTTTGTTGTTATTCATAGTTTTATTGAGATATAATGTATATACCATATGATTCACACATTTTAAAGTCCACAATTCAGTGACTTTTATTTTTAAATTTTTAATTTTTAAATTTTTTTTAGATATTGATGGACCTTTATTTTATTCATTTTTTATATGTGTGCTGAGGATCTAACCCAGTGCTGCACACATGCTAGGCAAGTGCTCTACCACTGAGCCACAACTCCAGCCCCAGTGACTTTTAATGTATTCACAGAGTTGTGCAGCCATCACCACAATTTTTTTTTTTTACTTTTATTTGCATTTACTTTTGCTGAATTTATTCCTGTGCCATAAGTTTTCGTTTCTTCAGTGTATTCTGGGATGGTCTTCTTCTGTGCCACCTCCTTTTCTGGTTTAGAAACAATTTGCTACTTTTCAGTAAAGGTCATCTCAATGTGACAGGGGTGGGGAGGAGGGCTCACATATGGGTTAATTCCACCATGAGCTCTGAAAGTATGGCAGTGCATCTTCGTTTGCTTGGTATTATGGTTTGGTTCTGGAATGTCCACCAGAGGCTCATGGGTTGAAGGGTTAGTCTCCAATGCAGTAGTGTTCAGAGGTGGGTGGGGCTTTGAGGAAGCAATTAGATCATGATGGCTTTACTCTCATCAGTGGATTAATCTATTGATTTATAATTTGATGACATTATTGGGAGGTGATGGATACTGTAGGAAGTTGAGTCTAGTTGGGTGAAGTAGATCTTCCAGATTCTCCCCAGAAGAGTAAATGTTATCCATGATTTAAATATGAAGATTTGAATCTCTTGATTTGCATGATTTTGTGGGGTTTTCTAGGTCAAGAAAATAGTGCATCATTTTCACAGATTACTTCTGGACACTTATAGGAAGAGTTACAATCAGTTTTAGAATATTTCATCACTCCCCAAATAGACATGTATCTTTTTCCCACAATTTTTATTGGAGCATTGTAGTTGTACACATTGATGGAATTTGTTGTTACATATTTGTACATGCACACAATGTTAACAGTATAATTTGGCCTATATCACTCCCCAGCATTTTCCCCCTCCCTTCGTGCCTTTCACCCCAGGTCCCTTTTCTTTACTTATCTCCCTTTGATGTTTTAGGAGATTCACCTCCACTTTTGTTTTCCTTTTTCCTGTTTAGCTTCCTCATATGAGAGAAAACATATGACTCTTGACCTTCAGGATTCGACTTATTTCACTTAACATGATGGTCTCTAGTTCCATCCGTTTTCCTGCAAATGCCATAATTTCATTTTTCCTTATGGCTGAATAAAAAGTCCATTGTGTATATACATCACATTTTCTTTATCCATTCATCCATTCAGCCTTGATAGACACCTAGCCTGTTTCCAGTTTGGCTATTGTGAATTGTGTTGCTATAAACATGGTTATGCATGTACCACTGTAGTAAGATGACTTTAATTCTTCAGGAGAAATACCAAGAAGTGGTACAGCTGGGTCATATGGTGTTTTCATGCCTAGTCTTTTGAGGAGCCTCCATACTGTTTTCCATAGCAGTTGTACTAATTTGAAACCTGTATCTTTTTGTCATCACCTCCAATGCTTGCATCTTTCCTAGCTCTAGGTACCCCTTAATCTATTTTTTATCTCTCTATATTAGCTTACACCAAACACTTAATATAAATASAATTATACAATATGTGGCCTATTGTGTCTGACTTCTTTCATTTAGCGTAGGTAGCAGGAATCAGTACTTCATTCCTTTTTTATGGTTAATATTCCATTGTATGTATATGCCATAGATTGTTTAGCTGATGAGCACTGAGCTATTTCCCCATATTCTGGCTACTGTGAATAATGTTGTTGTTATGAATATTCATATACAAATTGTTGCATGAACATGTTTTCATTTCTCTTGGGTATAGAACTAGGAGTGGAATTTCTGGGTYATATTCAACTATATTCAACCTCTTAAGTATTGGTGATAGTTTTGAAGTTTCCCAATTGATTTAATATAGATCCAGGGCTGAGAATCAATGGTAGTGACAGAACAGTAACACTCAGGATGCACTCTGACACCTTCATGGAGCCTTTTGCAGGGTCATTTGTAAGCCTTGGGAATTCATGTGGAATAATGAGGCTGGTTCTCAGTTCATTTCCAGACAGGAGTGACTGCTGTCCATGTGCAGGGAAATGTGCTCTCAAATCTCTTTGAGTCAACATTTAGACTGATGAATTGGGGATGAATATCAGGGGTGGGGGTTTTCAAACTTTTTTCTAATTGTGCAACCCTTTCTTCCAATAAAATCCTYGAGGAAGCTGAAATGATGAGTCAGAGAAAGGTGGAACCTCTCCAGGTGTTGCTGAGGAGAATCTGAGCTTTTGAGGCCCCTGTCTACAGGGCCTGTTAAAGTTTTTTTCTATTGCACACCCAGCCCACTGCCTCCAAGCCCTTCCTCAAAACACGTAGGTATTTAATAGAGCATTGTTTGAAAAAAAATGAGAGACAGAGATGCTGTCACAGAAGGCAATTCAAAAACTGGAAGAGGGTCAGAGGGTTGTTGTAGCGATTTTGACAGTGTTCCCAACTCTAAGCCTCTATTCATACCGTCAGAGCCACTTGTATCTTGAACATCTCTGCTAGACAATGGAAGAGGCATGGCCTGAAGGATATGAAGCTGTTACTTTTCTCCTTACCCTTGCCTTTGTTTTCCTAATTTGGTTCCAGTGAGGTTTTAACCTTGAACAGAGCTGGCTGTGAGTACAGGGTGTACAAGATCTGTTATCTTTATTGTTTAAAGTTTAAACTATTTAGAATTCAGTTAGACTATAACTTCAGTAAGGCCAGCACTCCACTTTTTCAATGCTGCTCCTAGAACCGTTCCTGGCATATAGTAAGTGTTTAATAAATGTGTACCAAATAACTGAGTCATACTTAACCCCTTTATGCCAGTGTACTTTCCCCATTACCTGCATGGCTCCTCCCAGCCACCATTACTTTTAAGATACCAGGAAGCAGCTAAAGGAAAATTCAATGTTCTATAGCTCTTTCTGGCCTTAGTTCTAAAACCCTTGCACCAACCCATTCCATCCTCATCATCCATTTGGACCGC